CTCCAAGCACCTTCTCTTCCCTCCACTCAGCTCTGGTTTGTAGCCTGAAGGGTGCTGAGCCTTTTGCTACTCAGGGGCCTTTAAACAGCTTCTGCCAAGACAGCAGCTTTTGTCATTCCAAAACTTACTTTTTGCAGCAAAAGTAAAATCTGGAACATTTTCCCGCAATGCCATAGGGGAAAGGGCAATGTAGAAGTGAGCAGAATCCCTTTTATCGCCTACATTGCTTATCATTTTTTGGTCCTGAGGAGGATCCTGCAGAAGGAGGAAAGACTCAAAGTGATTATGGCGTAACTGTTAAAAATGTATCTGGTTCCAGAGGAACCAGTGCTGGCTCTGAGTCCCAGTCTTGTGTGGGAACTGAGCACCAAACCCAACATCCTAAACTCTCCAGTCAGAGTTCATTTCTTCTACAGCAAGATGTGCATGTGGAGAAAGGCAGAGGGAAGGAGTAACATGAGCTACAGGAGTTGCTGTGCTGCATCCTCAGCTGCCCAGATCCTCCTCACAGCAAGTGCCTCTGAAATGTTATCAATACCTGAGAATTGTGGTCGCTTACCAGGAGCTGGAAAACCCCAGTGACAGGGGTTCACACCTCAGCCATCTCCCCTCTGTCCCTCTCACCTGCAGCACTGTGGACCAACAGGAGGAACAAGGGGAAGAGCAGGTAGAGGATCCGCATGGCTGATGCCTGTCCTGGGTCTTCTTGGGGCTGCAGAGGGGACACACCAAGAACCAAAGCAGGGTCAAGGATTTAGGAGAATCTTTGTGCCTGGAGAGGCCAAGCTAAATGAAATCTTATCCAATGCACTTCACCCCTGTCGTGGTTTTAAACCAGTAACTAAAAAATTACTTATTTTTTGCTGTGAGATATGGATTAGAGCAATAGCAAAACAGGCTTAAAACTTAAAAAGGAATAAAGAAAGTTTATTAACAAACTACAAGAACACCAGAATAAACTTCCAGAAAACACTTTATCTCCCACTACTTGACCATTCCCTTGTACATGTGACAACATAGAGACAAAAAACCCCAGAACCTTGGTGGTCAAAAACAGTCTCAATTCTTGCTACAGTCTTCTCATCAGTCTTTGCAGAGAAACAGAAGTCTCCTTCTGCCAATCTATGGAGTTTCTCACAAGAAAACTATTTTTGTTATAGTTTTCTATTTCTCCAATGCCAGCTGCCCGGAAATCTCTCATCAGAGTTCACTCCTCTCATTTCACATCACTTTGAGGTGTGTATGGGCCATGAGTCTAGGGATGTCATTTTAAGGATGAGTTATTCTAAGGCAAAAGTCTTCTTCATCTGTCTCTGTGAGCTTCCCTGCAAACAGTTTTCTCATTGCCTCTCAAGGCCTCAAATCTTCGCTCAACCCTGTTCCAAGCACCTCACTGTATTACAATTACTTTCTCTCTTGCTTAAAATCCACACTTTGAACACTCCATTCCTCCCAATACTCTGTCATGAATTAAAGGAGTCTTTTTAAACTACTATTGTCCATCTCCATAGCTTTAACAGAAAGATATTTCAGCTGTAAAGCATCTCCTTATTCTCTCTTCCCCATTTAAAACTTAACTCTTTTCCTCACTGTTTTTGGTGGTTTTATGATGTCTTCTTCATGTTGATTCTCTCTCTCTCTCTGTCTTTCTGAGAAAAGGAGTAATCTGTATGTCTTATCCAGGTAGTAAAAGAATTAAAAGCTTTAGAAAAGCTGCAAGAGTTCACGGTGTCAGGTTTCAGTCCAGCAGCAGAAACTGAAAACTAAGCCAAGCTTCTTTTCCTTCCCCCCCTCCCTCTTCGTCCTCTGCAGCCTTCTCCGGCCTGAAAGGGGCGGGGGGAAAGAAGAGGCCACGACAGAGCCTTGTTACCTTCTCAAAAGCTGGAAACAAAAGAGAACGAGAGTGCTCTGACTGTACATCTTAAGGGGGTGTTTACAAGTTGACTTAAGATTTTTAAGATTTTTTTTTTTTTAAGTTGACCAAGATTTTTAGATGCACTACAACATTTTTTAATGGTCAAAACTGCTGTCAATTCTTAGAAATGACCGATAATTGGTCAGGAGGAAAAACTCCCATCAGCCACCAGCAGTTTCAACTTCCTTAGCTCTCAAAGCTGTCTTAAAGGTAAAGCTACCCCATGACAATCCTCCCAGTCAGCCCAAAGCTGGATGATCCTCAAACACCCTGCACTATCTCCTCTGCTTTCCTGAAGTCAGTAAATTCTTCCCAGCTCACTTGGGACTGTGTCTATTCCTAACTGTGATTATTCCCAGGATTCCCATCAATCCCACTCCCCATGCAGCACTGACCCAGGAAGAAACAAGAGGGCAGGGAAGTGTCTTGGTGGCCCAGAAGTGACTCCCCAGTGACCTACCTGATGAAGGTGTTGGCTCAGAGCACACCAAGGCAGAAATGGTTTGTAATAAACCCACCTGGAATCTCTTGTGTGAAGAGTCCAGTTCAGGGACTCTCCCTCTGCCCCAAATGCGCTGGTTTTGTCCTGGTTCCAGGGGGTGGGACAGGCCCCAGTTGCTGCTGGCACAAGTGGCCTGGGCAACCCAGGAGTGCCCCGTGTGTGTGGGGGTGCTGGGGCTGGCCCTCCTCCCCCCCTGCTGCAGGGGCAGGGGCTGAGGTGCCTCCTGGGGCTGTTGCAATCAATGTCACCGTTGTCCCCATGCAACCTCTTGTGACACCCATGGCACAGCAGCAATGGGCTGTGGGGCCAGCTGGGAAATCCTTGGGATGGGGGATGGGGGCACAGGCACCAGAGCAGTCCTGGGGGAACTGAGTCCTTCTTCCAGAGATTCATTCTGGACTGGTTTGGGTTGGAAGGGACCTGAAAGCACATAAGATTCCACCCCTTGCTATGGGCAGGGATACCTTCTGCTCTCCCTGGTTGCTCCAAGCCCTGTCCAACCTGGCCTTGAACACTTCTAGTGATGTAGTATACACAGCTTCTCTGGGTAACCTGTGCCAGGGCCTCATCACCCTCAGAGCCAAGCATTTCTTCCCAATATCTGGTGTAACCCTGTCCTGTCAGTTTGAAGCCATTCTCCCTTTTCCTGTCACTCCAGGCCCTGGCCCAAAGTCCCTTTCCAGATTTTTTGGATCTCCTTGGGGCACTGGATGGGGTCTCCCCAGTCCCTTCTCCAGGCTGGACACCCCCAGATAACTCGATCTCTATGGTTTTGGCATGTATGAGTCTGCTTTTTGAGTAAGGCAGAAAATGAAATACTCTTTTGAGCCTTCTGCTTCCTAACTCCATCACTGGGCAGAGTTTTGCTGCCAAGCCATGGCCCTGAGACAAATCTGAAATATTTTGTCGTGATGTCATGTGTTTTGGAGAAAGACAGTTGCAGGATAGAGGCATCTTCATAGGAAATGAGAGGTGGATGAAGTTACCCAATGAAACAGCATAGAAGCAAATGCCAATAATCAACAGCCTGGCATCTCTGCCGAGTGCTTCGTACCCAGCTGGAAAATTGGAATTGGCCAGGGTGGTATCCTTGGATAGAGAAATCTTTATCAGTAGAACCAGAGCCACTCACTATGAACACACATGTTCATGAATCATGATGATGGAGGCATTTTCCAGAGAGGGTAAGGTCAGCCTTAGCAGAGGAAAGGCATTCTAACCTCAAGTTGTGTCCAGGTGGGTGGAGAGGAGAAGACCCCCAGCTCCCACCCTGCAGGACTACCCAGGTTACCCATCTGATCCATAGGGCCCCTTTGTGATGTCATTTTGAGGGACACCTGCACAGCTCCCCTGGGAAATCTGTTTTCCTCTAAGGCCCACAAAAGTCTCCCTGAGGTGTCCCCATGGGATCATCCCATCCTTGCCCTCAGGCAAGGGAGTCCCTCCCTGCCATGTGGTGGGATGGGGTGTGGAGCAGCAGAGCTCCCAGCAGGGTCTCTGGCAGGGAGTGTTACAGGGGACCAAGGGCCTCCAGTTGGGGAAAGAGAGGTATTAACCATTCATGTTTTCCCACAAAATGATATCTGCACAGGAAGAAATTAGGGATTTTGGCATCTGAACACATTCCCACAAAGGGAAGCTGAGCTTTTTTAGCCAGCCTTTCTCTTGGCACTGTAGGTTAAGGTCTGTGTAGACCTGGAGAGCTGTATGGCTCAGAAAAACTCAAATTAAGGAGCAGTTTGCACCATAAATTGTTGCCCTCTGGGGTTTGTGTGTCAAATCCCAGGCAGGATCATGACCCAAGTTTCAATGCATGTTTCAGTGACCAATGCTAAGCAATAACAATTTATTCAAAAGGAGGGAAAGCAATGCAGAGCACTTTTGGGTTTACTCTATATCATTAAGCTTTTTGCATTGGCAATGAAAGGAGTTTGAGGCTTTGCAGCAGGATCCAGTGGGTTTAGGAGTAAGGAGATTCCATGCAAATTTGTAGGTTTAGAAGAAATTTTCATTGCTCTTCAATGAATGGCTCATCAACATTTCTTAAGTTCCATGGCCTGCAATAAGGAAAAAAAAAATTAGATTGTCTTTCTGCTTACATTCCCTCCCTACTCACTCTCAGCCCATGGTTTTTTCTCTCCTGGACACAAATTCTTCCCAAAATAGTTCATGTCATTTGTAGTCATGTTGGGACAGCTCTCTGCAATCATAACTGTGAGAAAGGAGATTGTTTCCCTGTTGTTTCAGGAAAAGCAGGGAATTAAATTGGTATCCTTAGATTCTAGGGCGAGTGCATTCATTCATGACTGAAAATAGAAGCCTGTTTTTCATATGATAATTTAATTTTATAACAAAATTTACAACAAAAACTTTACCCTGTGCCTGAGAGCATTTTCCAAATATTACTTTGGCAACATTAACACTTGAGTCAACACGGAACACTTGACTATCGTCATGGCATAATAGCTCTTTTTTCCCCTTATACCAAATTTAAATATTCAGGAGCACCTTGGGGTTTAGGAGAAAGGCAAAATATTTATTATTTCCCTGCTCATCCTGCAGATGAGCCTTGGTGAACACCAAACTCACGGTTTGCAGCAGGAGCGGAACCCAAAGCAACTCCCAACTTTAACCAGGTGGAAGGGACATCCTCCAAAGTGACAGCTCCCACCTCTACAGAATATCATTTCCCTCCGGGGCGAAGACAAACCTGCAACAAGAACAAAATATTTCCTTCCTCCTTGCTCTGCAGGGCAGGGAATTGCAGTGGAAGAGTTTCTCATTCCTTTGTCACCAACATCCCACCCTGGCTGTTTCAAAAGGCCGTGTGGGTGGTGAGGTTACAAAGCAGGTCTAGCACAAGCATTGGGCTGATTGATTCATTCCTGACTGGCTTCTACCAATTTGAAATAGAAGTGTTTAAATGTGCTGGGAATTTTGCACAAAAATCCCTTTCTAGCATCTCTTTCCCATCTTACCTGGAGAAACCTGGAGCGCCAAGAAGAGGAGGGAAAAGAGCAGGTAAAGGATCTTCATAGCTGAGGATTTGCTGTGGCACTGTTGGGAAAAGCACCAAGAAAGACTAAAGACAGACAGTTCCTGGGATCTGCAGTCTCCTGAACACTGTGTTAATAAAAATTACATTTATATTAACTTTGTCTTCAAGTTTTCAAAAATAATCACTAAAACCCATAGGAAATCCTGACTATTGTGTGGGGCAAAATGTTTTCAGGACACGTGATCATTAAGTTATTTTAATAGTTTGGTTGCTCAGATTTCTTTTCCATTTTGCAAATAGTCCTTAGTAAGGACACAATGATGGGATCCCAGGATGGTTTGGATTGGAAGGAACCTTGAAACTCATCTTGTTCCACCCCCTGGGGCTAAGATACCTTCCACTAGACCAGTTTGTTCAAAATTCCATCCAACCTGGTCTTGAATATTTCCTTAACTTTATTTTTAGCTAAATGATTTAACCTAGTAAATAAACAACATAAAACAAAATTAGGTGAAAATACTGTAAAAACTACAAACTTCAGGAAAAAATACGTTCATTTTGTAATGTTTAAATTTATCAAGAGATCAATTTGCTCAACGTCTCCAGTCTTAGTCTACAGGCAGCAGTTCTAGAATGGAAATCTACAATCAAATAAATTCCCATTTGAAAATAAAATTTTAAAAGCAAACATATGATACCTTCATTGGAAGAGTTTAAACTAATATTAGGGTTTATAGGATAAGATAGCCTATAAGAGCACTTAGGGATAAAGGAGGGGCAGTTAATGTTTCATATCCTGGTATGAGGAATGTTCTGATCTGTCAGAAGTGATGGTTTCTCAAGCAAGGAATGGAAGTGAGATTGTGCTGAAATATGGTGACCCAAAAATGTTTCAAAATTAGTATTAGAAATTTACCTAAGTTTCTATATATTTGGAAATATCAGGAGAAATAAGGAGAAAAATGAACAATTCTGAAAATGAAATAAGGGTTTTAACATCGAGACATAAATAAAAAATACTATATATAAAATATGTATTATATACCGTACTAAAATATAAAAATATATAAATAATATATCATTTTATACCTATTAAGCCTTATGCAAATATTTTATTACTATTTATAATATCTTTATATTCCACAGCTATATATTTAATGGAAATATACAGATATAGACATGCACATTTCTACTGAGAGGTCAGGAATTTCTCTGGACCACAGACCTCTCTAAAGTAACCCAAACCAAACAGTTATTTTTCCTAGGATTTAGGAAGCAGAGATTTTTATTAAAGCTTTCTATATATTAGCATATATTTGAGCTACTTATTCAACATGTCCAGTTTTCTGAAATCTTAAGTTTACCTTTTCTAGTTACAATACAAATTAAAGTTAGTAACACAGAGGTTTGGGAGTTTGTTTTGGAGTTGAGTTTTTGAGGAAAAAAATAAAGCTGACATCGAAAAGAACTGAGACATTACCAGGTATCAGGTGAGCCCTGAAGCCAAACACGACTTGCTCGTGGTCCCTTCCCTCCTGAAGACTTTGGCTCTGGGACTGGGATACTCTTTTATAAGGTGGGTCCCAGAAGAGACTGACAGTTTCTTTCTCTTCTCAGACATTCATTGAACCAATCCAAAAAATGCTCTTTTATTCTTGGTGGCATCTAACCCAACCAGAAACCAGCTGCTTTTCATTTCCCAATTATACAACAGGGTTTCTCCCTGAACTTGTTTAAGCTTTTTTCCTGGAAAATCCCATGTTTTTCGTGCAATACCTCTTGTGACACTCCAGTTTGTGTAAGAGACGTTAACCCACCATGGTATATGTCAAACATCTTGGGACATAAGTTGAACTGTCCCTGCTTAAGAGTAACTTAAAACCTTGCAATACAATCCCAGTTAATTTTCTGTTCCATAAATACAGAATGTAAGAACACAGAATGGACATGTGGAACTAAAACAAATGTCCATTGGCTTCCCAGACAGTGGCCACTGAAGATGCCTGAGTGAAACAAAATATACAAGAATAAATGTACCAAAATACCAAAATACATTATGGTTATGTCC